CCCCAAAACCCCAAAACCCCAAAACCCCAGATTTATTTGAGTAAATCAAGTTTGCTTGATTTAATAAATTTAATTTTATTTTGAGAGAGAGAACTTAAAATAAAATGACTGAGGTTTCATCACCAATCAAGCAGGAAACTTTCAATCAAATCTATGGCCAGTTTGACTTAAGATCCCCAATCTATAAGCCATTACATTTTACATAGTCTGTCAAGGATAGTGTCTAATTCAAATTAAATGAAAATCCAGAGATTCAATACCACGATCTCAGATACATACCTCCTAAGCATTATAAAGTAGATCATTTTAGCACTTTTAAGTAAAGATAATTCCCATAGTATCCTTCAAATAAAGTTGGTAAGATACTTTTTAATTTGATAAACAATTTTCCTAGTTCATGAAGATTACTAGAGGATTATGAAGGAATATTAAGTAATTGAGGATTAAGAGGATGAGAAAAGAGCAAAGTTTAAGATTAACGGTGTTAAAAAAGTATCACCACATAAGCGGAGAGAAGTTGAAAGTGCCAAACCAGATTCTCTGAAACTGAGTCCAGATGAGATACCATATAACTTATTATAAAAGATTGATAAGATGGTTTAACAGAAGCTAAAGGAAATTACGCCTGAGGTTTTGCAGACTTTTGCCTAAAAAAACTATCAAAGTACTATAGAAGTGCACAATATGACGCCGATAAAAAAATAAAGTGAGAAAAAGCAAGTCTCAAATGGTATATTATTATTTTTTCCTTTATTAACTTTCTTGTAGGCACAGAAACTGAAATGAAGTAGTATGAGACGGTATTAGAAGGATAAGATTAAGAATTGAAGAAATAATTAGATGAATTCGAATAATGGTGTCTCAAAAAATAAATTGAGGAAAAATTGCGCAAGACTTTTATCAAGGAAACTCTGAGAAATCTAGAGTTTCATAAACAAAAATAGCTTGAAGAGACTTCTGAGGAAAGAAAGCTCAAGAAAGAAAAGCTAGCTGAGTGGCATCAATAAAAAGAATTCAACATCCTTATGAAAAAGGGTTGGGATAAGAGAGTAAAAGAAATGAATGAATTAGATAAAATGGAGAAACAAGCAAAAGGTAAATAAGCTTTTATGGATTGGCTTTAAGGTCATTGTGAAAGGCTTAAATAATAAAAAATGCAATAACTCTAAGATGAATATCAAAAGCAGATAAAACAATAGAAATAATTGATAGCATAGTCTAAACGAAGAGAGATGGCGAAAGCTGCTTTTTAGTAGTGGGTTCAAAGAAAAAGATCTGAATCCAAATAGATCAAAAGATAAAGCAGTTATGATGTTAGAGGGAGATAAGGCTAATTTAATACAATATAGATGTAAAGACCACCATCATACTCTAGATAACAACTAGTGAACATTATGATTAAGCCTGATAGACTATAGAATCAGCAGAGAGTAAATAATTTTATGATAGGCTCTAATGATTAAGGAGATCATATTCTAATGGGAAGTCCAACGAAATAGGCCTATAAATATGATGATTTTAAATCTCCCAAAGGCAGAAAAAGTAGTGGAAACAAAAAGAAGAAAGTCAAGGCAAAGAAGAAGTTTAGTGTTAATCGTAATCACATGAAACAATAGAGTCATCAATATGGTGCTTAATCTAACAATTAGTAGAAAGGTTATATCGATAGAATAAGCGAAGAGAAAAGCTCAGAAGCTTCGTACAAATAGAAAAAAGAGGACTATGATATTTCAAGTATTGTGAGACATAACTAGAGCTAGCCTGCTGAAAATACAGTAGAAAGCATGATATCTGGAATGGAAGCAGGTGGAGACAGAGTCTGCTGATTTAAGAAATTTTCAATAAGATAAGATACTATATTATAATTATCTAACCAAATAAATCTTAAACTATATATTATTACAATCAATTTCTCTTATCTAGCTCAGTTTATCCTATTATTACCTACAAGCTGATTTAAATCATACTTAATCCCTTGTCCTGATTTAAACATGAGAACACATTGTTTGCAGTTAGGACATAGAGAACTTCTCTTTAACCATTATTAAGCACACCTATAAATATATTCTTTATTATATCTTCTTACTTGAGATGAAAGTAATGATTGCAAGGAAGTTGCTTTATCTCATCAGATTCTTGAATCCCAATTAAACAGATTGAACAATCATGTTACTGGTATTAGGAGAAAGTATCTTTGCTAATTTTAATAGTTTTTATCTCTGTAATTTCTTTCTTTGAAAGTCCCTTAACTTAATTCATCTCAGTGTCTCCTAGAAGTTGCTGCTGATCACCTTGATCAAATGATTCAAAATCCAAATATCTTCTAACATCACGATTAAGGTTATTAATCAATTGTCTAGACACTGAATTTCTATCTTGCTGAGTTCTAATTCTCTCAATCATTTACTATGTAATGATCCCTTATAAATTATTGATTAAATACCTTATTTTAGATTAGAACAATAATCAGGACAATAAAGAGCAATATTCTTAATACTGAGGCAATCATTACCAGAAAATATGCAAACCCATCATCTTTATTCTATGATAGTTTGATAATAAATACTTTACACATTAACTTGAGCATGCCTCAAAGAACCAGAAGAAGCCTAGTACAGTCAAAATGAAGAATGTTGGCATAAAAAAATATAAGAATAGTTTTTGTAGCTTAGCAGAAACAATAAAATAATTTATTTGACTCAATTCTATTGTTCTGATTATCAGAAAGTAAAGAAACATTAATGTTGGCCAAAATTTATAAGTCCATGAGCAAGTTTATCTAAAAATATGAAAATTCATACAATAAATTAAGCTCACATATTATTCCAGTTGTCAATTAGTGTATATATTACCAGACCTTCAAGCAGAGATAAAACTCCTATCTGAACTTTATGTTTAGCTTTCATTTTAATTATTTCAATAATATTATTTATTTTTAAGTAATTAATTCTTTTTAATTTAAGTAACTCTTTTAATAAATTTGATTACTCCTTTCTCGGGGTTTTGGGGTTTTGGGGTTTTGGGG